CATGCGCCCCCCCCCCCCCCTTTGTCTGCCTCCCTCTATTCGTCGCCTTTATTTCCCTCCCGCTTGCGTCGACTTCGCCCCTGCTCCTGAGCCCCACGGATGGACGAGTACCTGCGCGTCCTCATTGACGAGATCGCCCTCGAGGGGCCCCACGGTGCGTGACTGCGCCGGACATATGCCCCGTCGGAATCCCTCCGCCCGTGCCTCGGCACATGCATGTACTCCTGTCTGACACCGTCCTCATGCCACCCGACAGGGCACCCGGCGGCCGATCTGGCAGGGCTGCTCTCGGCCAGCACCGGGCACCAGATCGATCGCGGGGTCGTGTCATTGCTCTGGCCGGCGCTGATTCGCCACCCGGATGCCCGTTTCGAAACTGAGCCGGAAGATGCCCCCCCCGCGCCGATGCCCCCGCCGCATCTGCTGGACAAGCAAGTGCATGCCCTCTCGTCGACATCGGTTGGCTGCAAGTGCGAGCCTGCTCTTGTTCGGTTTTGCCCGCTGCCCCTGTTCCCTTTTTTTGTGTTCCTCGGCGCTGTGTTGGGGCCGTCTCCCGGGCGCATGCCTCGCTCGTTCGCCGGCTTGCCACTGACTTCCCTCGGTCCCCGGACTCGTCTCTCTGCCCGCCTGCCGGCAGGGTTGTTCATCGGAGTGCCCCGGCGTTGCGAACCTTTGCCGGGGCCCTCGAGCACTACCGGCAGCGGAAGCTCCGTCTGCGGGTGGTCGCCTCGACAACCTACCGGCATCGAATGCTCGGAGTGCTGAATGACGTATGTGCCCGCCGATTCCTACTCTCCCTCCCCGCCCCTCATGCCGTCTGACGATGGTCCATGCTCTCGCCATGTGGCTGTGGCGGTGGCCGTGCTGACACATGGCGCTTCCAGAATCCCTTCGAGCTCACGCCGGTCATGCTCTTTGTCCTGGAGCAGGCGGCCAAGTCCCGCGAGCGTGGCTTCCCCCAATCCGAAGTGAGCCGCATCCTGTCCATCGACCCGCGCACCATCTTTTCCATGGTCAAGTCTCTGGAGCAGGCTGGCCTGATGTACGCCCGGTTGCTTGTCTGCCTTGCATAGCCGGCTGAGCTTCCCTCCCGGCATTCCCCCCCCCCTCCCCCCCGCCATCCTCTGACCCGGCCGATCCCCTCGCCGCCTGGCCTCCCTCCGCCCGGCCTGTCGACACCCACCCGCAGCTTTCGCATCCCCTTCTTCAAGCCCGGGCTCAGCCGAACCAACCTGATTGTTCTTTCGCGCTTCGCCGGCATGTCGGTGGCCGCGGCGCTGAATGTTGCCTCCCGGGGCGACACCTCCCTGGTGGAGGAGTTCACCGGGATCCCGATCTTCCTCTTCGACAGTGCTCGACAGATCATCCTTTCCCATTTGCGGGCATCCAAAAACCACTCGATGTCCTATGACACAGCGCGGCAGCTGGTGGTGCGCATATGCCTCCTCGCCCGGTGGCACCCCGTGCCGACCTGCCTTTCATTCTCACACTTTCCTGCCATCCCGCTTGCCGTCCCCTCCTTGTCGCCACCCCACGCGGGCGCCAATCGACAAACCAATCCACCAACCAACCTGCCAGGCTCCTCTCCTGGGTATCCGGCAGGTGACCCGCACCGAGCGCAAAGCTGACTCCAGGGCGCCGGACGTCGAGCCTGGCGAGTCGAACGACTCGCCGGAGCAGCTTGCCGAGGTGTCGGAGCCGGCCGGCGAGACACCACAGCCCCCGCCGGCACCGGCTCCCACCGGGTCCGGGTGCGGTGCGATCGTGGTCGCCAGCACCGGCAAGAACCAAGAGGCGCGTCTGGTCCGCCTGCTGTCTCGCATCATCCGCTCGCTCGTGGAGATGGGCCACATCGAGAAGTTCTACACCCACTCCGAGGGCACCATGGTCATGTCCATCGGGCTGCTGAACAAGTCCGCCGGGCCTGCGGCCCCTGGCCGGGACGGCTCTTCCGCGGCCGACCCCGCCTCTTCCTTCGCCTCTGTGGATGCACCACGCCCGGAGTACCTGTTTGCCCTTGATCGGCCTGCCCACTTGCCCATCCACCACTCGATCTTCCGGCTGGTGGCCACCGCGCCGCAGGGCGTGTCCACCACCCGGCAGCTCTCGATTCGGCTTTGCACCTTCGTTCGGACACAGCTCCGCCTGTGTCGCGAGGTCGGCGCCAGCGGGGCCATCCGCATGGACAACATCGGCAATGTCGGCCGCGAGCGGTACGCCTGCCCGGCCTGTGTCTCGGCTCTCCGGCTCCCCTGACTCCGGTTTCCGCCTGCCCCCTTCCTTCGGCCTTTTTAAACTTGGCCACCCTGCCGCACGCGCACATGGCCCTCTTCTCGGCCCTCCCACTGATTATCTCCCCCCCCCCCCCGCCCCTCTTGCTCTTCTCCTTCTTCCCTTTGCTCCCTCCCGGGGCCTCGGCACTGGCCGCCACGCAACCAGGCACATCCTCTTCGAGCCGCCAACAAACCTGGCCGAAATCGCCCATCGATATGGTCTGCAGTTTGATCGCTCGGGGCACTGCTTCGTCAATGCACTGATGGACGCCTCGCTGCTGGATGCCCCCCCGCGGGAGGTCGACACCAAGGATGTGGTTCGCATGGTGGACCCGGACAATCCCCTGGCCTTGGAGTTGGACAGCCGCATTCGCGGCGGCATTAGCACGTCACGTGCGTGTCTTTTCCCCGTTTTCCCTCGCCTGTGCCTCGCCCTTCCCCTTTCCGTGCTTTGCCATCTCCCCGGCCTTCCCCCCCCCCCTCCGGCGGGTGGCCATGGCAGGCTGGCCTCTCGGCACCTGCCGCCCTCCGGCTGACATGCTGCCCCTGCCACGATCGTCCCCCTGTCGGCTCCTTTCCCAGGCCAATACTACTCGTTGAATGTGGTCAGCCAAGTCCGCGCTTTGCGGCTTGCCCTGCACATCCAGCGCGATCCGATCATCTATGAGACGACGCTCGTCCGGAAGTGCGTGCCTGCGAGCTCTTTTCTCCCCTGTACACCTGTCCATTGTGCTCTTGCCGGCCTTCTGACCGGCGCGTATGCATTTATGTATGGAAATGCCTGTGCGCGTGCTTCAGGCTCGCGTCGCAGCCACTGTCACCCAATGACCGGCAATTTCTCGACTCAACCGGCATGGACCGTCGCACCATCCGGCGGATCATCGACGTCCTTGTCAAGGCCAACGTCATTCGCGTGCAGGCCATTCGCGAGTCCGAGGCTCTCGATCCGTCTGGCACGCTGACCGCGGAATATGGCCCGGATGCGCCCGAGTCCTCGCGGCGCGAGCATGACGTATGGCACACACTTGCTTCGGCCTTGCCCGCGCCTTTGCCCGCCTCCCCCCTCCTGGCCCATTCTCACCCGACTTGCTGTGTTGTTGGCTCCCCCCCCTCCCCCCCCGTGCTCCGAAGGTCTTGATTGGGTGTGTGACGCCCGTAGACCGGGCCCGCATCTTGGAAATGGTTGGCGACTATGTTCGCCGGCGGCGCCAGCGTATGGCTGCCGGGCCTGCTGCTCTGGTACGCACTGTGTGACAGTCTCTCCTTCCTTTTTTTCTTCCTCCCGCTCTCGCTCGGATCTCGACCCGCGTTCTCCCTGCCTCCCTGGCCTGTCCCCCTCCCCCTCCCCCCTCCTCTCTCTCTCTCTCTCCCCGCCCCCCTTGTCCACGCTGACACACCTCCTTCCCAGTCCACGCGCAATCAGGAGGTTAGCTTCTTGGAGGACCTCGTCCTGGAAGAGGCCGCCGATGACCGGATTACCCTTCTCGCCGACATTGCCAGCCGGGCGGCCGAGGCCACCCCTGATGCCGATCTGCCGGATGAGAAGCCAGCCGTGGCTGTCGGTCAGGCTGGGCTGACCGCGCTGGAGGCCGCGCCGGCCAAGCGCCTTACCTCGCGTTGGACGTCCACCGGCGATGTCGGCGCCGGGGGCGGGGCCATGCGTGCGACGGCCGCTCGGTTGCTTGGCCGCCGTGCGCTTCTCGATGCGCGCTCGGCCCGGGGCATGTTCCCTGGCATGGACACGCCCGGGGCCGAGGCGCCGGATTCGGATGCCGGGTCCATGGGCGAGGTCGATCGGGTGCCTGTGGCCCCGGTGCACCTGCGCAAGATCGAGCGTCTGCGCGTGCTCTACTTCCACCTGCACCAGATGAGCAGTGCCCCGGTGGCCGGGTCCCCGGACGAGGAGTTCCCCTTCATCGAGGGTGCACAGTTGATGAAGAGCCTGACACTGGGCGTGTTGGTTCGGGCCCTCGGCGTGCAGTCGGACTCGCAGGAGCGTCTTGTGCGTCACCTTCAGCGAAGCACGCACGCGCCGGTCACCAGCGCCGGCGCCCCGTCGACCATCCTCCTGAGCCGGCAGCTGGCCTCGGTGCCGGTGGATTGGCTTCCAGACCAGGCCCGGCGAGAGGCCCTTCTCTCGGTGGGCTGGCTGATGCAGCCCCGGCTGCCGGCTGCGGTCGGGCCCGAGGGTTCCGCGGCGCCTGTCGCCACTGCCAGCACCGATGTCGCCACCGCCACGCCGACCAAGTACCGGATCTTGCGAAGCCTCCCGCTTGGCGGGGCCACCGCCGGCCTGGGCACCGGGGTTGGCTCGGTGATCATGTTGAATTTGCTCGAGTGCTTGGAGGAGCTTGGGCTCCTGCAATTCGAGGAGCAATGCGGGCTGTGCGTTCCCTCGCCTGGTGGCGCTGGCTGGCCATGGTGCTCCAGCACACCCGATCCCCTTTTCTCTTCCTGCCTTCGTTCTTCTCTCTCTCTCTCTCGCTCCCTCCGTCTTTCTCTGTCTCTCTTGGGCTGTCTTTTTCTCTCTGTCTCTCTCTCTCTCTCTTCCTACTTTCCGCCCCCCCGTTCTTGCGATCGTCGCTCACAGCTGGCCATCTTCCAAACAGCTCTGTTCTCGAGTTCCCCATGGATCGGCCCCTGCGTCCGGTTCCCAGGTTCCTGGCCAGCACCTTTGGCACGGCCACCGGCAGCAGCACCGACGGGACCGTGGCCCATGGTGGCCTGCTGAGTCAGAGCCAGGACATGGTCCGGGTTTTGGTGCCGGCGCGCTTCCGGCTGGTGCGACATGTGCGCCTGAAGAGTCCCGGCGATTAGCCGGCCGCTGCGCCGGTGCTGGAATTCGATACCCGGCATTCGACCCAATTGTCGGCCCTATGGTTGGCCCTGTGCCGGTCGCCGAGTCGCATGTCAAGCCAGCAGGTGTCGGCAGCGGTGGCCGCTGCCACCGGCGGCCAGCGCCTGCAGGCGCTCCCCCTTCGCCGGCTCCCCTCGACCACCATTTCGTCCATCCGCTGGCGCCTGCACAAGGCATCCCGCCTGCAGCCGGGGGTGGTGCAGGCTTTCGGCCGGGACGCCAGCCGCCCCGGTCGGCCGGAGCTCCTCTCGCCCAGCTGGGCCGGCCGGCCGGTCACCTACTCCGACGATGGCAATGACGATGACGATGACGATGACGATGGCCATAGCAGTGGCCACGACGGCGAATTGGCCAGCTCGGGCCTCAGGCGGCGGGGCCTTTCCGATGACGATGACCATGACGATGAGGATGGGGATCGCGGGCACTCCGGGCGTGGCGCCCGGGCGTCCGGGCGCCGGCGCCGGCCTCGCAGCCAGTCAGCCCGGCGCAGTGCGTCGGCCTTCTCGAACAGCGTTTCGACCGGCCTCATCGGGCCCATTCGCGCGGACACCTTCGACCTCGGCGATTCGGACGAGGAAGCCGGCGGCAAGAGCGCACGCCTGGGCCAGCGCCGGAAGCGCATCCCCTGGGACGCCCTGTCAACACAGGTACGCCGCCATGCCCCTTCACTGTGGCATCGGCCATTCCTCTTCCTGTCCTTTGCCCGCCCTCC